AGGGCTTAAAGACTATTCCTGAGGGTTGGATTGCAGTGGCGAACTAAGGAAATTCCCTCATGTTGTGTTTCATGGCTGTTTCTCTCTGAGCAACTACAGTTTGATCTAAAAATACATACTGGTTTCCTCAATTCTTTAGCTGGGACATTACAGAACATGGCTGCCAACCATTTCTGAATTTACATGTTCATGTCATATACAGCTTGAACGTGGCAGAGTAATAATCATGTTTATCTTCTAGTCCCAGTTCCAGAATTCCAAAGGAAAGATCTGATTGGCCAAGCCTGGGTCAAGTGTTCAATACTGAATCAATCAACAATAGTATGAAGGCAAAGTGGCTTACATTAGACCAGTGGTTCTCAAACTTGCACAGTGAGCTCACCTGTGTATCTTTAAAAATACTGACCATCACCTTCTCTCCTTAAGAAAAGTAACTTATTCTAGTAATAGATCTTTTATACCTTATACAAAATAATGTTTGTATAAAAAATGAACTAAATATACTTTTGATATAGAAAATAGAAGTCCGGAAATTTGTATGCTTCTAAAACAAAACAAACTTTTAGCATGAAAGACTGACCGATAACTCTTTCTAAAGAATCTTGTTTCATTTTTAAGGAAATGCTATTTTGGCAGTGGGAGCTGCTGAGGCAAACTCTTCTATAGGTTTCATACTGTGCCTGTTAGAGCTCTTTAAAAAATGTTAAAAAAACCCAACCCAACCCTTGTTGTATTAAAATATCACATTTTCTCTTGAATTTATCTTTATATGGGTTTAGAGAGTCTTGGTAAAACTTGTTTAAATGATTGGTTCTTTGCAAATTATCACACTTTCTGATTTTATTGCTCTATTAGGTCATACTAGAATTTTGGAATATAAACAATTGCTCTCTGTAATATTGCATAAGCATATCTCCATGGATCTCTAGATGGACAGGGTTATTTTGCTGTTAAAATTGTTGTGATTCCTTTTTAGCTTACTAGGAACTCAACAATGGGGTTTTGAAGATTTTGGTATGTAGACAGAAACAAATAGCTCAAATCTCCTGTTGACAAAAGCTGCTACTAGAAAGAAATTACTTTAAAATATTCTCCTAAACGCTAATGTTCTAAAATTAGAAAAGACAAAACAAACAAAAACAAATGTCTGTATTTCTCCTACAAAATATAAATACAATTTTTGGTGACTTATGTACTTTATAGCAGTAAGATCCCATTCTAATACTGTCTTGAGTTGTGTATTATGATTTTTGTGCTTTTAGACGGACAGATCTATGAGTCTTAGCTAAATGATTTATAAAGTGGACACCACAATATTTCAGAATTCACCAATTCTACTGAGCTAGAAACCTCACATTTCAGACATTACTTAAAAAAACACCTTTCTTTTGTTTAAAATTATAAATATTATACATGTTTTGTGTAAAAGATTTAGAAATCTGTACATTTATAAATAAATAAACATTGTTAACTGTATGGTGCTTTTTAGTTGAAATTGTGGGTGAAAATAAATATTAATTTAAAAATTTGACAGATATTGCAAATCTCCTCCAAATTTCTATACCAATTTCTATTCTCTCAAAATTCATATGACTATCCTGTCTCCACTGCCTCAACAATAGTTGATATTGGTAACATTTTTAATGTTTTGTTAACCTGGTGAGAAAAAAATTGGTAGTTTATTGTATTTATTTGCATTTTACAGATAACTAATAAGGTTGAGCAACTTTGTATGTATTTATTGGAATTTTATATTGTTTTGTTTTGCGAGAGAGATTTGCTTGTTTGTTGCATATTTTGCTTTTGGATGGATTGTCTTTTTCAATGAAGCCTAGGAGAATTTTATATATCATAGATGTTACATATCAGCTGTTGTTTATCTTACATGCCATCAACTCACTGAATGTTCTATTTTATTGGAATATCTTTCAGTGGATTTTTTTGGTTTTTTAGTATTTTTTACTATTGCTAAAATAACATTTTTCCTTCTCTGTATACTATAGTTAATTTGTTTTTTCTTATTACATTAGCTAGAGCTTCCCAAATATTATTACTAACAGACACTTTTGTATTGTTCTTGATTTTAATGGGGTTACTTTTGGTATTTCACCATTATGTTGAAATTTACTGTTGATTTCTAAAGACATTACTCATCAATCTACTTATATTAATAAATTAATGATCAATAATACTTCCTATTTTTCTATTTTTTTGCAAATTGCTATTTGAAGCTAATCATATATTTTATCAGTGTCTATTGAGATGATTTTTCTCTCCTTTAATATACTCTAGTATGTTACATCAACAGATTTCCTAATATTGAACTATCCTTGTATTCCTCAAATAAAAGGTTCTTATTTATAGTATAAGAGTTTAGACAATTAAGTTCGCAAACTCATCCTAGAAAAAGTGCTACATAACTCATTGCTGAATGTCACTATGGTCTCCTTCAAAGTACTCCTTTAGGGAGGCTATGCAACGATGCCAGTGCCTAGTCCATCCTTCAAAGCAATTTTGGAACTCTTTTTCTGGAATGGCCATCAGAGCTGTCATCGTATTACCCTTGATATCCTGAATGTCATCAAAATGTCTTCCTTTCAATATTTCTTTTATCTTCACGTAAAGAAAGAAGTCATTGGGGTCCAGATCAAGTGAGTAGGGAGGGTGTTTTAATAGTTATTTGTTCACTGATTAAAAACTCCCTCACAGACAGTGCCATGTGAGCTGGTGCATTGTCGTGATGCAAGAGCCATGAATTGTTGGGGAAAAGTTCAGGTAGTTTTCATCTAACTTTTTCACGCAGCTATTTCAGCACTTCCAAATAGTAAACTTGGTTAACTGTTTGTCCAGTTGCTATAAATTCATAATGAATCTGATATCAAAAAAGTGTTAGCAACAGTGTTGCAACAAGTTCATGAACTTAATTGTCAGACTTCCTATTGTGACATTTCTATATTCAAAAGTGGGATAAGTGTAGATATTTTTTCTTGTTTCTATTTTTGTCCAATTTTGTTATTCAGGTTTTGCTAGTTTGAAGAATGAATCCAAATCTTGGGATGTAAACGCCTGGAAAGATGAAGAGATTAAGGATCATGATGAAAAAGATAGGGAAATGATCATATGTGTTTGAAAGGATTATGGCAGGTATATTAGCTTGTTGGGGATGCTAAACAGAATAGCACATGCTGGTTAGTTTAAAATACAATTATTGTCTCATAGTTCTGGAGGCTACCTTCGAAGGGCTGTGGGGGAGGATCTGTTCCAAGAAAAGGGTAAAATTTGAAAACCTTGAAAGATACATTTATTCTATGTTTTCACCATTGCAATTTTCACCAACACCACTAGAACATGCATTCAGATTTATTATGGTGCAAAAACAGAAATGCTGCTCCATTAAGTACTCACGTTAATGTTCATTTAACAAAAGACCTAGATTCTGACTCTCATAAATTATGTATGGCAAGGGACTTAGGAAATTATTAACTAGCATAATTCATTTAGATGTGTTTCCTCTGAAAGCATTAAAATATCTTTGTTGCTTCCTGCAGAAATTACTTTAAAGCATTGATATATGTGGTTCTCCTGTGTAATTTTCAGATAGCTGATTGTGTGGTTTAGGAAGTTAAAAAAAAGACTAAAATTTCATATTCAACTTGGACCTCATTTGTTAACCATAAATTCGTTCAAATAAAAATTCTTTTCCATGATCTAGTCAATTATATAGGCAGTTATTATTTAATGCTTTGTTCTTCTGTTTTTTTTTTAATTTTTAAAATCCATTTTATTAAAAACAAATATAATGCCTCTTTGGGTGGGCAGAATGGGAGGTACTAAATAACTCAAATATTAAATAAGGAAAAAAATCAGTTTTAATTAATAAAGCTATGTTTCTGAAAGTAGTCTTATCTACTTTATTACTACTTACATTTAATATGCCTGAGTAGAAACTGGAAAACGTTAGGCTATTAGATCTAGAAAAGTGGTCTCATGACCATGTTGAAGTAAAGTCAGGAAAATAACATATATTTCAAAATTATTCTAGGGATTCTCTATTACTCTGCATTCATGGGACTACTCAGTAATACTACTAATATAAGAACTATTTAGCTCTATTAATTGCATAGTAAAAAAGTATACCAAATCAAATGTATGTTAGGCTTGAGAAAAGCTCAAAATATTTATGAGTTGTTTCAAATTCAATAATATGATTAGATGTTTTTCATTTTTGTTCTTAACTTAGATTTTAAAGCAGTACTTTGCTTCCACTTTCTCTCCACTTAATGCTTTCAGTTTAGTACATAAAACCCATGGTAACTAGGGACAAATGTGACACATTGCTATATGTCCTCAGTTCCTTTCCCTGGCTCCTTTTTCATCACCTGCAAAATTCTTCAGGCATAGGATGAAGAATGAATCCTCACAGTAGACAAAAGGGGTGAGTCCTGTTGTTAAACGAATTTTAACAACACACTAAGTACTTCCCTGGCCACTAATTGCTTTGTTTAACATTCAAGTTCTCTAGAGGGTGTCCAAGGTCCTTCATAATCTTTCCTCCTCCTGCTGTCCCCAGACATCATTTCTATCTCATTATGTCGGTTACTTAGTGGTCCTTCATAGGTTCCACATGTAATCCATATGTCTTCATCATTTTGCTTTGGCCTATGATTTTTTTCATTCCACAAACAGAGAGCCCTACCCACCTTTATTCAGACTTTCCCAAATCTCCATTCTCCCTTGCAGCACTTAATCACATTTGTATAGACTTTCATGTATCCTGTTTATTTACAATATGTACTTCCATGGACTGTAATTTTTATGAAAGGAGGGGCATTACCTGTACCCCAGTACCTGGCATTTGGTAAGCTATACATATTTGTTGAATGAATAAATAAATAAATAAATTCTATTGTTTATATCGACTTGCTTCACTTCCTCTCCAACTAGGTTGCAAACGTTTTATGTATAGAGAAAATGTCAATTATTCTTTTTATCCACAGTTGCTTCCGGACAATATACCATTGACTACATGGATACTTGAAAAATCCAGGCTCATTAAAATTAGGAGGCACCATTAAGGTCAAAGGAGCACAGGAATGAGGTAAAAAAGAACGAAGCTTGAGGGGTGGGGGTGGGAGGTCATCACTTTGTGAGGGGGTAAATGTCTAATCATTGTGTTGTTTGGTACACCTGAAACTAATATTAAAAAAAAAAAATAAAAAAAAATAAAAAGAATGTAAATTTTAGTAAGCACTTTTTTTTAGCATGCTGAGATGAGCTATAGTGTGCCTCACCATTATCTCGTCCAGAAGAGAGAATAACTCAACAATGAAGTTTTTTGGAGCTGAGTGTTTGTAGCAGAACATTTGCAGGAGATAAAGGGAAACACTGAAGGCTTCTATGTTTATGTTCTGTCTATAAAGATGCAAGAAAGAGCTGTCCCTACTCCAGTCCACAACAGGATGATTTAGGGGAAAAGGCCTTGCACTATAAAGAGATATTACCATGGAAGAAAGACATTGACATGCGAAGATGCATCCTATTTTCCTCCTCATTCTTGGAATTTCATGTCCCAGGCAAAACAGATGACTCTTATTACTATATAGCAGCCCGCGCCACAAATCTTGTCAGAACTGTCTCAAAGGAAATCCTCAACTTTTATATCAACCTGGACACGTCATTTTCTTTTTCAGATACTCTTACAAAGAAGTGTTTCATCATTATTTTGACATCCTTGGGAATAATTCAAATGAATTCTACTCAATCACAAAGACAAAACCCTCCAGCTATTTACATTTAGCAGACCTGATTTTTTTCCCTTTCTGCTTAAAAGCCTGATATCCAATGATGTTTTTTCCTTTTGTGCATTTTATATTTTTGCCTGCAATACTGCTTTTTCTCTCTGTCTACTTTTGAAGATACATTCATGTTTCAGTCTTCATTTGTTTCATGTCAGTAAGGTCAAAGCAGAACGGTAACACATTTAGCAGAAAATGTCATAGTCTTTGAGCGTCCTACTCTCTTCCTTCCTATTGTCTCACACTAACCTTGATTACGTGCTTTCCAGGCTCTCACTCACTTTTGCTCACTTTTTTAATTGAAATAAAGTAGACATAACATATAATTAGCCATTTTAAACTCCATCTCTACTCAGTACATTTTTTTTAATTCATTAGGGTATCTATTTGCTAGGTCATTTTTTTTTCTTTTCTCTCATATACAGACATCCTTCTTTTCTACTTAAAGTCATCAGAACAAACTTATTTTATGTAAAATTATCATAAACTTATGAACATATTGTAGAAAGTCACTGTGTTAAGTAGAAGGAAGTTATAGTGGTGACAGGTTAAGAGCCAAAATTTAGATTTACAGTTATGTTATTTATGATTTTATATCTATTGCTAATTTTATACCTTTTTAATTTAATGGGCAACTTGTAGGTGCTGTTCAATAGAGAAGGGAAAAAAGAAAAGTAAATTAGATTTGTCCCACAAAGTTGATTAAATTTTATAATCTGAGATAATATGTTTGAAAGCACTTGGAATTTCTTAAAACAATATACGAAACAATAGAGTTTAAATGATCAGATTTCCCTATACTCTTAAAGGCAAAAATCTCATCAGCTCACTTAATGCTTTCTAAAGTAAGAGAGGTAATTAACCAAATTGCAGTTCTCTATAGGTCTTACTATATTTAAACTTTAGTAATATTTTATTTCTGGAAAAAAAACCCCATTATGGCTTTACAAGAAGAACTTTCATATTTAAATCCTGGATCACTCCTTTACCAACTTGTGTTTTTGATTTCCATGTTCTGGCCTTGAAATAAATTTTTTAACTGATAAAATAGAAATCCATTAAAATATTCTCATTTTCATCATGATTTGAATGAGTTACCTATCCCTCAGTATTAGAGGTGATATTGAAAATTAAGTAGAAGAGAGTTTGAACAAAAGTTTGATTTGGTACTTCTGAAAATAGATGCAAATCATCTAAGTGAGAAAAGTACAGTGTCGAGCTATGTGTTTAATATTTCCAATTTAAATTGCTCTGATTCACTCCATGTGTGCTCTTAAACTTGTCTATTCATGTACACAGGGTTTTTTTTTTTTAGTCAGATAAAAAAGGCACTATGCTTATAAAATATCATTTTAACTGTAACTTGTGATTTTGGAAATAATTACATAACTGACACAACTTTGAAGAGTTGATAGGCCTTTTATATAAGCTATCCAGAATATTCAACAGATTAAGCAGTTCTGAAATGGGAAATGTTATTTGCTGCCTGAGGTCTTCTCAGCTATGCTGACTTGGTTCTCCCTTCAAACACTCTGAGCGCTGCTGGTAGATAAGTGCCTGGCTTAGATCTATGGCGTGAGGTTACTACAGCTAACTCTTTCTAGGCTCTTTTTGATAAGAAGAAGGTTCTCAGCATGAACTAAATGCACCAAACAGCACATCCTTTCTCTTTTGGGACTTTTCACGTTTCAAATAAACGGGCACGTGCTTAGTTTACCACATGATGGCGCCACATGAACGCCTTATAAAGCAAGCAAGCTCCAAAAAGGCTTGTTTTCAAGCTGTATAAATAATGTAACACCCCAAATTATCTGTTTAAAACAGGAACGTGACCTAATCTGGTTCTCTTATTTTACAAAACATTGTTCATATTAAGAATATTGTCGTTATGCTCTTTATATTGAGGTTTGCCCCTTCTCCACCATAGACTAATAGAATTACTAGTAATCGGTGATGGATGTTAAAGGCATTGTTGTTTTGGCTTTATTTTTAGTGAAAAGAATGATTAGAAATTTCATTTCTATAAAGTGTTTTTTTCTCTTGTATTATTCTCAGGACATCCAGCAGAGGTAAGTAATAAACTAATTATCATTTTTAAAATGAACTATGTTTCCTAGATTTTAAAATTTCAGGATAGGTGAGAAAGAATGAAGCTACCATTTAGAAGGGGACAATTTTGAGAGTGATAGAAATTTTGTTCACCAAACCGAAAGAAAACCAATGAGAAAAAGTATACATACTTTCAAGAGATAAATGAGACAACAGAAACTGAGATGAATTTGATTATTTACATTAGAGTTAGACCTCATATTTTATTTTCTACTCATAAAATGTGGGGTTTTAAAAAAAAGAACAGCATTCCTATTTGTTCATTTATCAGCCACATTTCATGTGACATCTTATTTCTTTTCATTGTTGTATTTTCAGGCAACTTATTAATTTGAGGTTTTAAAAATGCTTTAGTCACTTCATCCTGCATCAGATAATCTCACTGTTCCTGAGTTGATTATACATCAAACAGTCCCATATCCTGTTTTATTCATTATTTGACCCCACTTGACTTTATGTGTTTCCTCAGCCTCCTTGGATGATAGAAGTCAATTACTGATATGAATTCCTCTAAATTTTCCTTAAATCTTTCCACAGTGGAAATTAAGCACAGAACTCCTAGCTGTCGTGGATGCATCTGAGAATGGACAACTATCGATCTGTTTCCCTTGCTAATTTCCTTGGATATGTAAATTCTACTATATGCACAATCACAGAGATTGTTTATTAAAAGGAAATCTTGTCTCTTCTGATTTCAACTTTTGGGTAAGTCCATTCTCTGTTTAGATTACTGCCTTAAATAACTTTTGGATGCAGAACATCAAAGCTACAAAGAAAGAACACATACATAACAAATAGCATCTTTTTGCTCACCTCCTTTCCCCTCCTCACTCACCCTTCCCTTCCTCATTCTTCCTTCCCTCTCCCCATCTCTCCTCCTTTACTTCTAAATTTGGAATTCTAGGTTCTCAAAACCAGACAAGTACAACAAGGAATAGAGGTGGGGGGTGGGGAGAACAAACAATTGTCAAATTACAACCTCAAGGAACACAATAATATATATCAACCTGAAGTTATTTTGGACTAGATTGCCTGGTTGTTATAGGTACATGCAAACCGTATGTAAATAAACTTATGACCTACTTACATATTGATCTTGGAAGTCATAACTAACTTCTTAAATGCTGCTCAATCTATCATGAAATTTCTCTGTCCTCAGCATGAAAGATTATCCCTATTAAAAATAACATCAATATTTTCATTTCTATAGCTTTAAATAAGGAGCCAAAATAAGCATTTGTGAATTGTTGCTTCATCCTGTCATCCTCATCTATTTGGCCACGATAATTATACTACTGTAACCAGCTTGAATTCTCTTTTAGTTCTAATTCTAAAATGATCCCAGTTACTATGATGAATATGTGTTTTTATGGAACTGGCTTCATTTCCTCATCCTCAGGATTGGGTGATTGTGTTTCCTCTCTGGATGAATTAGAGTGGTATATTTGAGATTATATTTCATTAGTTTTATTGCTGCTTGTTAAAGTTTTATTATCCTCTCTGTTTTATATTTCAGGCTTGCAACACTTGCCAGCAGTGCTAAGTGACTTGATATACATGAATCATAACTTTGTGACCTAAGAATATGCTCTCTGCAAGTATAATGATGTCTTAGAAGTGATACTTTATAATGCTATTAAATGTCTGCATTCACAGAATAGCTATCTAAAATTAAGGAACTTTATTTCAAATTTTCTTACATCTAAGTTAAAATATTCCGCATGTCTCTTAAGAGGTAGGTGGTACATCATATGCTTTAAATAAGAATTCATTCATACTGTATGATTTTCATTTATTTCATGGAACTGTTAACTACTACACAATTGTAATTCAATAATATCTTTGAAGCAAACTAGCACTTGGGTAAAATCTGAAACTACTTGGTGCTACTTACATCCATATCTCTTTACTCAACTGAATAAATAGTTGAGTAGATACAAGGATAGTTACACATCAATTAATTGTAATAGTACTAGACAGGTTGAGGGTTGAGTAGGGAGTATGTTAGAATATTCTAACATGTTCTACCATAATTATAACCCCTATTCCTCTGAACTCACTATACTGTGCTTTCTTGTTCTGTAAATGGTGATTAAGAATGTTGCACTTCCTGATACATTTATAGTAATTATTAAAATGTGTGCTATTATTATCACAGAGAATATGATTCAAATAAAATACCCCGAATTGGACTCCTTAAGAGCAAATTTGCTTAAAGATTTTTTTTTTCAGAAAAATAGTAATGTTTTAGTTTTCTGGTAAAGAGAATATTATCTGCAACCACCATTAATAATTTAGTCTCTTGAAGGAGAATGATTCACTTATGAATGTTTATCAAAGTCCCACAATATGCCAAAGAATACTTCATTTATTTATTCATTTGTTTGTGTTAAATTTATTGGGGTGACACTGGTTAGTAAAATTATATAGGTTTCAAGTGTACATTTATATAAAACGTCATCTATATATTTCATTGTGTGTTCACCACGAGTCAGTTCTCCTTCTGTCACCATGTATTTGGCCCTCTTCTCCCTCTTCTACCACCCCTTTTCTCCCTTACCCTCTGGTAACCACTCAACAAAAGATGCTTTAAATTGTGTTTAACACATTGTTGTTTTGTATCATTACACTTTATATAATTTAAACTAGTGATTCACATAAAAATCTCTAGTTAGCTTGATGTTTACTACCAATAACCTAAAGTTCCTTGGGCATTTTAGGAATAAAAAAAGGAGTGTATTCTTCATTTTTCTTTTAGGGTTTTTCTTTCTTAGTAGTACTCTAACATTTAAAAAATTAAACTTTTATTAATCATTTAATCGAACTTTTTCTTTCTCATTAAAATAAAAATAGGACAGAAATAAAAACTGTGGGGAAAAAAGAGGCAATGAGGAAAAGCCGGCTTATTAGTTCTTGAAGACAGGAATTAATGCTTGCTTTCTGGTGAGTAGCAATGCAGAGAGCCACAGATCCGTGCGCACCTGGCACTGAACTGTGTCATGGCATTTTGTCTCAGGTGCCTGGGAAGCAATGAAGACATTTGGCACCTCCAAGGTTAGAGAACTCTTGAGGTCTCTGTGGTTTGACATATGGAGATTTCTATTCAGTTTCCCACTGATTCCAAAAGCCCATGGGATCCTAAAAGAGAATTCTCAGGAGGCCTCCTGGGAATTCTAATTGTCTTCTGAAGAGCCTGGAGTTCGAGAACAAAATAAAACATAATTACAGCAAATTATTTGAAACTAAGTATTTACATGTGATGAGAAGAAAAAATGTTATTGTGTGCCTGCTTACCCCTCCCCACATTCGCCCCCTAATTTTCTCCTTGCTCCTAACTTCCAAGAAGAATTCTTTCAGTTCTGATGTTACTTAGATGCTGCTTTGAGTGAATTAAAAAACAAACAAACAAACAAACAAACAAAAACTGATAAAGGGAGGATGGGGCATTTACTTTGGGAAGAGATAAAAGAATAGTGGTAAAAGGCAAGTGAGAGGAAAGAAAGACAAAAACCGTCATGGATGTTGGGGCTGAGTCAAGTGCTTGGTTGGCAGTTGAGAATATCAGAGAGGAAAAATGTTTAGGAGTTGCTGCTAGCCATGTGAGGAATGTTAAGAGTTACACAGATGGGGAGAATAGATATTTAAGATAATTTGTGGCTTTTAAACTATATTCCATACTCTTGCAATTTTTAAAAGGACATCTTTAAATAACTTGAATATCTTTTAATTTCTCCCGGTTACTCTATTGTGTTCCTTTGACCACAAGTCTGAGCTGAGCCTGGATCACATGGGCCTGGTTGTTACTTGGATTACTGTGTATTTCTAGAAAACATCAGGTTGCCTGATGTAAGACTCTCTCGTGGTCATTTTGCTTATCTTCTGGTGGGGGGCTTGCACCAGGCCATCCGTCCAGGAGTGCTAGGATGGAAGTGTGATCCTGATAGTTATTCTTCACCTTGATATTCTAGAACCCTTCACGAGACACATAGCATCCTATTGTCCTTGGAGTAAAGTTCAAGTTAATGAATTAGGACTCAGGGAAGAGGTAGAAAAACTTTTGGTGCATGTGGGAAAGTTAGCCTATAAGAAAGGCTATGGGAAGAGGCTTGACTCCATGTCCCTGAGTTGAACTTCATTCCTCAGAGATGCTGAAACTGAGGAATCCTAGGGATTTCACTGAAACATTCATTGAGAATATCCACTGCTCCGTGTTGAAAGGAGAGGCCATGGTCAACATAATTAAAAATTTTAGTGATTCTTCTTTTCCCAGTAGCAGACATGGTAGCAGCCACCTTTTCCTGTCATCACTTCTCATGTTGGTCAGGCATGAATACTACTCTTCATTTTCTTCTGGCTGTCCCCAAAATGACAGAAAATTCAACATATTCAAACCCAAATGCAAGCTTTTCTCTCATGAGATTTCCTCTCAGACTTGCCTTGGCATTGCTTCTCAAGTTTGGAAATTAGAAATAATCTTTTATTTTCATCTTCACTCTTGTCCAATCTTTCATGACCAATAATGTCTCCATGTTTAATGTTTTTCAGACCCTGGTTATTGCCAACTACATTATTTTACTCAAGTTGTTTCTCCAAATGGGGAAGCCTGCCACCTTCCTCTCTATCCAAGTCTTTTAAGAACAAAAGTAAGTCTCTGCTTTTAAGAACACAAGTGTCTGCTACTCTCACTAATCTCAGACCTTTTTCCCCTTTCCCATATGTGCATAATAATTATTTTATGACTTGTGGGAACTATTGTGAGGTTTATTAAAATGTGTTCTTTCATGTGCCTCTATCATATATGCTTATTGAGTCTGTAAGATATAAACATTATTATGCTTTCTTTCTTTCCTCAATTACTATATCTAATCCTTGAATATCCCTTTGAATGTGTACAAAGTGCTGGGTTCATAGCAAGCTCTCATTACCTGTTGAATTTAATCAAAGAAACAAAGTTTTGCTTGTATAATGCAGGGTAAGAGATGCAGTTGACAGTTCAATGAACAAGGGGCAAAGAATACAGGCATACTTTTCAAACTTTTCCTCAGAAGTCCTCCTGGAAGCAGAGCAGAGTGGTGCCTGTCCCAGGTGGTTGAAAGATAGCCTGAGGCAGCTGTATAAGATATGTTTGATATCTCCTGTTTCATCCTAAAAAATTTAGGGAATTATTATTATTTGCATGTTATCAGTATTTGTTTTAATATAAAAATGTTTTAAATTATATTTACTAGTTTAACAATTTCTCTTCTGACTCTGTACCTTCCAAATCTTGCAATGAAATCGATGGTTCAGGAAGATTTTCATGATTAATGGTATTTCTCATCCTTTCAAAGATATTTTAGTTTGATATTTTAGAAACTTGCTGATAATGAGGCCATACCATGTAGAAAATGAATGGCATATTAATGACTGTAATACAACAGTGGGGGAATTTTCACTTAAGGAGGTTTGCATATATTTTCACTTACTGAAATTGTAAATATAGTAACAGAGATTTAAGATTAAAAACCTTTGTTTGACTCATGATGATTCATGGTTTATTTATCTGTGTTGAAATCCAATTACCATTT